AAAAGTCGAATATTTTTAAATATAATATATTTAATTAATCAAAGTATGAACCATTGTTTTCTATGCACTTTTCCCATCTCATAGGTAGTTCATTGATCGCTTTACTAAAAAAAACCAGTCGGACGGGAATCAATAAAATCTGTGAAGGCGATTTGGACTGCCCCATCAGAGTTAAATTTTTTCCCTTGCAAGAAGTTGTCCAAATTTCGAAAAAAAATTGTAATCTGTTGGAGCAAGGTCCGGGGAGTACGGAGGATGTCTTAGACATTCCAATTGAAGCTCTTCTAATTTGGTAGCCGTCTGTTGTGCAGTGTGTGGTGTAGGTTGTGTGAAGTAGGAGGGGTGGAGGATTAAGCTAGGTTGTTTAGCCGCTAGCTTTTCCATATGGTTTGAAATTGCTGACAATAGACATCAGCCTAAATTGCAATTTGAGAAAACTCAATAACAATAGGCACTAGTCCACCAAACGCTTAACCCCAAGTAACTTTTTTGGGGTTAATTTTCGCTTGGGGCAGGATTTGGCTGGCTGGCCAGGATCCAACCATTGCGCTGAGCGCTTCCGATTATCGTAAAGAATCCATTTTTCATCACAGGTAATGATTCGGTTTAAAATACCTTCATTATTGTGACGGTTCAGTAATGTAACGCAGCAGTCGACGCGCGTTTGCCGGTTTGCTTCAGTCAATTCGTGAGGTACCCATCTTTCAAGCTTTTTAATCTTCCCAATTTGCTTCAAGTGAATTAAAACAGTTTTATCACTAACACCGCACCCTGCAGCTAACTCGGACGTGGTTTGCGATGGATCCGCTTCCACAATAGCCTTCAATTCTTCATTATCAACTTGGGTCTCAGGTCGTCCACGGGGCTTGTTCTGCAGGTCGAAATTTCCAGAACGAAAACGTTGGAACCAAAAACGAACTGTGTTTTCTTTTGCAACATGACCGCCATACACATAATTCACCCTTCGAGTCGTTTCCGCAGCACTAGTGCCACGGCGGAACTCGTACTCGTAAATAATGCGATACTTTAAGTTTTCCATTTTGTAAAATGAGTGACGCAAACAGAAAAAAACAGAAAAAAAAAACAAATGAATGACGGTCATCGAAGCAAAAATACATGAGTATGAGTAAATAGCTGTACAAATTTGAATTTGGAATTCCTTACCAAAGAGGAGAACATCGTGATGTGTGTGGCCAGTACGAAATACGCCAATTTAATATGTAAGGACCTAATATTTTTAAGGACCTCCTATTGAGTATAGGCTTCCTCCAATTGGCTCCATCTCTCTCTCTTTTGAGCATTTTTCTCCCAATCCTCTCCACCAACTTTCTTAAGCTCGTCAGCCCACCGAGCAAGAGCGACCACGCTTTCTTTTTTCCTGGTGGCCCTTTCCACTTTGTTACCCTCTTTGTCCATCTGCCATTGTTCAATCGAGCGGTATGGCCCATTATTTATTACATAATATAATACCAACGGATGCTAATAACGCACTTATAATATGTCAAATATTGCATTTGTAAACCTATCATATCAAATAGTCACAACGGGTGACCTCATGGTTAAGTTTAGTAAAGTTTTTACAAAAAAAGAACGCTAGTCATCAAATGCAGCGCTGCAGTGTTGGCCTAATGACTTCAGCGTGCGACCCTCATCCCCGAGGTCATGCGAATCACGGCTGTGTACCAATGGAATTTTCTTTCTATGTGCGCAATTAATACTTGCTCTTACAGTGAAGAACATCGTGAGGTAACCGGTTGTGAAACCCAAAAATCGATCACATGTGTCAGACACAAGAATGATGCTAAGACTAAGAAGACTTGCATTGAAAAGATGAAACACTTTTCCTGTTGCTGCATATATGCTGCTACCGTATGTTTATAACAATCTATTAGTTAAAGGGCTATCTAAAGGGTAAGATCAAATTTTATAATTATTTAATTTGCTTGTAATATTAGTAAATAAACAAATAATAACAGCTTTTCTTTATCACAAAACCACGTAAAATAGACTTAAATACCTACTGTTCTACCTACTATCAGCGAGCGAACATTAGTTTGATAACAACATAGTTTCAGGTTGTATTAATGCTAATTTCAACCGGAAATACACGAGGCTAATAATTAACAATTGAATGACGTGTGGCATACTTGTTATAAATTTGTGGATACCTCAGATGTTGTAGTTATTATAGTATGGTCTTTGCTTTAAGCAAGTACAGATACCGGCAAATATCTTGCAAGATTAAACAAGGGAGTGGGGGAAAGTTTGCGCAGCGAGGGACACAAACGTCAACTGATTTACCAACCACTCTCCCGCCGCCGCGCGATGATGATGATACAATGAAGTTTATCTACCTATTTATTAAATCGTGGGTTAATAAAATAAACGATAAATATATAATAAAAGTCCGCGAGACAACACATATATTATTCTTTTTTAATCGCTAATCTTGGTGATTTCTGACCGATATATCTTAGATATTCCTTAATAGATGCAATATGATACCGACTATATTTTTATCAAAGCTATTGGAGTAAAGAGGCGAAATACATTGTTATTGCACAAAATAGGTAAACGTTGATGACATCATATCATATACATATATAAGCTATAAATACAATCTGAGGCCTACGATTTTAACCGAACTAGTGTTAATCTAATATATAAAATTCTCGTGTCACAATGCTCGTTCCCATACTTCTCCGAAACGGCTCGACCGATTCTTATGAATTTTTTTATGCATATTTAGTAAGTCTGAGAATCGGACAACATCTATTTTTCATCCCCCTAAATGTTAAGGGTGGTGTATGTTTTTATTTTTTAGACAAAACTTTTTGTTTTCATTTTTTTATGATACAGCATACTACAAAATACATACGACCCTTAATTGTCACCCCTCTACGATCAACCCCTATTTTTTATTATCTTTATATATATATATATAAATTAGGTGTCACATTGTTTGTCCGCTATGGACTCCTAAACTACCGATATCAATCAAAATTGCATACCGTGTGCAGTTTGATCTAACTTAACAGATAGGATAGCTTACATCTCAATTTATACCCGCAATATTATTTTATTGCAAAATATTTGTTTATTATTTAATAGCCACAATTTTAACAGATGGCGCTGTGTTGAAAGTACCAAAGTTTCACATAAGCTACAATTTAATGGCATAACCACCAATAAAGCATAGTGGTCCCCATTACTGGTGTTCTCCTACCGTTTCCCTTGAATAGTTTACTACTATGTAATATAACAAAAACCTTGGCCACAGCAACGCTTGGCCGGTCTGCTAGTAGTAGATAGTTATTTTTATTGAACTAAAAAAAATATCCTAGAAATAAGATACATGGCAAAACGACGTTTGCCGGGTCAGCTAGTAGATATTAATTGTTAGTAGCCAGTACTCATAAAAAATCAGGGAATAAAATACCACCAAGAATAAAGTTAAAGACACCCACTATTATTATGTATCTCGTTTATGGTTATCTACCAGAAATGAGTCTCCTACATAGATTAATATACGAGAAAAACACTGAAATAACACTAAATAAACGCGACCCCCTATAGGAACGGAATCAGATGTCTTCAATTTTAAGACTGGGCATAAATGTTTAAGAAAAAAAGTTATTTAAAACTAAATAATAATCTTTAGTTAACGTAATCAGCGAGTAGAAAGTAATGTCACGTTCTACTTGACTAGATTACATGTATTAACTAGTGCATAACGTGTCTTATAGCCTAAGGTCTTAAGATGGACCTAGAATCTTTAATTACTGTCAAATTTTAATTATAATAATAATCTTTATTTTCTTCTCTAACATATACATACAAGGTTTTTATGATTAAACTAAGATGATAACATTAGGAAGTGTATGTGAGAGACTGGTCTCTGTAACAGGAGACCTGAGTGACAGATAGCCAGCCTCTCCACACCGGACCGGAACACGTACAATCATGTCATTGTCATAAGATACAATAGAAGAAAATAAATATTAAGTGCTAAAAGAAAAAATTGCAAACGGAGTCTTAAAAATAAATTTGGTGTGTGTTTGTGTGTGTGTGTGTTTGTGTGTGTGTGTATGTGTGTGTGTGGCGAGCGTGGGTGTGTGTATATGTGTGGGGGAGTGGGTGTGTTACAGAATACAGAATAACAGTTATTAGATCTTCAATTTCAATTTATTGAAATGAAATTCCAATTTGAATTGATTATACATACAGTCATAGTTAACTTAACATGTTTGTACAAACACGATTCATAAAGAACCAAAGTAAAATTAAAACAACCTTGCTACAATAAGTAAACAAAAGTTATTCATTCACAATCTGTTATAGAGAAATAATGCCATTAAAAACATAACATGTAAAAAACATGCAACTCAGTTCTTCGGCCTACCCTACAAAAGGGACCTTGTGTGTTAAGTTATTTCGTAATAAGCTAACCTAACAAAATCTTATAATTACCATATCAATATTAAAAATCATTTATGTTTTAAATATGGGCATTGAACATGTCTACTACGAAGAGTTTTGATGGTCGGTCAGTCAGTCAGCGAGAGACAAAATTAAGAAACTTTGACTAGTTATAACTACTGGTTCAAATTGAATTAAATTTGAAATATACCGTGCCTTCTTGGTTACTGAACTGAAGTTCTATAAATAAATTTTTAAATGTATAGTTAGAAAGAAATTTCAGTTAGGTATGTTTATAAAATGTTATTGTAATAAAAGTCTAAGGAAAATCCAGATCGAACTGCCATAAAACGCAATGCGATAAAATTAACAAAAGGCAAACGATGGCGCTTGTGTTTTCCAGCCTACCTTAATATTATTTAGTAAAAAAGGATCTCAGAGGACTGCCATATTTCACCACTTTAACTAGACTTCAGCAGTATTCAGACTTCGAACGAACAAAGTATTGAAGTTAGCTTTTGACTTTAAAGATAACAGTGCGTACATTTCACATTAGATTTTTTAAACGAGTTTGGACTCACCTTTAAGGCAACAAGCAATGTGACAGTCTCAACACTGTAGTATCCACGATCCACGTAATCGCCCATAAACAGGTAGTTGGTGTCGGGGGAGCGTCCACCAATGCGGAACAGCTCCATGAGATCGTGGAACTGACCGTGGACATCTCCACACACGGTCACTGGGCAATTCACTTCTTGCACATTGGATTCTTTTGTTAGAATCTCTTTTGCCTGTAAAAGATATAAAAAATATTAATTAATATCACATATCAAACTGATACACACTTATATACAATTATTTATAACTCAAACAATAAAATGTTATCCCGTTTATAACATTCAAAATGTCCCGGTAGCAAGAAGCATACCTATATTTAATAGCTATCAGAAGATATGGCTTTACCTCTGTTACGAAATATAATCAATCGTTTTATCACGTAGAAAGTAAGGCAAGACAAATACCATTAGATAAGTAAGAGTATGGTATTTACAATACATTTTGATTTCAGAAATACTGCAAATTATATTCTCAAGGATATTGGCCATAATTAAATAAACAAAAACTGTATAAAGATTCATATTCAAGGTCACCGCTGTCTCAACAAAAGTTCAAATAACTACATTGAAACCTACTTGAGTGAAATAACATTTACAAAAAATATAATACGAATTAGAACACGTACGTATAACCTTAACGTTTGTGTTTAATTTAATATTTTAACTAAGCACACAACATGCCCGCGGGTGTTCGTTTGTATAAGGAAATAAGATTCTTTTACTATAATAATATTCAAGGAATTCATTTGAACACAAATTCAATTCGAGTCTTGGGTGAAATTAAATGCCCAACGTAAATTCAATAATACAATGCATGGATCAATTCAATTGAAAAAAAAAAAAACAAGTAGACGGTGTATGTTTGAATTTCCTCGTATCAGTCATGGACACATCCTCGAAACGGTTTCTTTAATGTAATTGATATAACTTTTACATAACTCCATTGACCTGTCGTGATTGGAATAACGTGTGTTGTCTTTGCATCTTTCATATGATCTCAAGAGAACAGGCGAACAACGCTCTATTTTCAGATTTTTTACACGCTGCGAATACTCACTTTGAAACAGGACCACGTATTGTTACAGAGTACTTCAGCAACGTTTTAAGAACGCAGCTTGAAAATGGGCAAGCAAATAATGCTCCGAAATTGCAGCGCACAACACGACAAGTATTTTTAAGGGCTGTTTGTGTTCTTTGCTGATAATACTCTTTAAAATGAACACACGATTGTTTTCAGATATAAAGGCGTAGTCGGAGGAGCCTTCAACTTCCTATGAAATGACAAACCTCTCTCAACTGTGATTGTGTACGAATGATGCTTCTGATATGCTCCAATATAGCACCTAAATTCATTGTATATAGGCAACAAAAACTTGATATGTCAATGTTTAAAATGTCTAATAATGTCAATGTTTAATAATGTCAATGTTTAAGTGTTTTTTATTGATATTACTTGTTATTTATCTCTTATTTATACATAACTTAGTGTATTAAGTATATTGTTGCAAAATATTACAGTGATATAGTGATTATAAAGTGTAATAAACGGTGTCAGTAACAGCTGTGTACCTACTAGGTAACGTACTTAATTCGAATCGTTGTCATCCAAATTCGGTAATTTGTATTCTTTTTCAATACGAATAAATAGTGTAAATAAGTAAATCCGAAACAAATAAGTATTTATTACAATACTAATAATCTCGCGATGGCACACATTCTCACATTCACACTGCCCCTGTGTAGGTACCTATTCTATCTTTTAACAATCTTTGTTAAGTCAAGTAATTTAAATCATAAACAATGACTACTCGTAGTGCTAAGAGTCGCCAGTTGGAAAGCCAACTCCAACTCGCGCTCCAAGAACTGAAAAGTACAAGGAGCAGTGTGAACAATTAATTGTTGAAAGGAATGACAACGAAATCGAGACGTTGAAGGTAATTAATAGAAATACTTTACTGAAAACTGAGATGACACAGCTTCACAATCTTTGCTTGGAGGCACAGGAGGAAAGAGACCGTCTTAAAAAGACAAACAGGCAACTTTGACCGCTGTGCCATTGAATATGAGGACAATTTAAAAACCATGTCGGAGCTACGGTCTCAACTCTCTTGTGCCTATGAAACAATTGAACAGCTTAAATTAAATATTAACAAATTAGAGTCTTCTCATACACAAAGTCTGTATGAAGAACTGGTCATCTCAAATCTAGGTAAAGACTGTATTAGGGTCCACTGCAACAATTGACTTGACAGGTGATGACTCTGTGTCACATACATCAACTCAATTCAATTGTAACAGCAAAAACAAATTAAAGAAATATATTAAATTGCAAAAATTCATCAAAAAAACTAAAAAATTAATAAATGGAAATAAAATTTACAAAAACCATATAAACCTATCAAAAAAATATAAAAATTGTTTAAATCAATGTAAAATATTTTCAAGTGAGGTTGAATCAGCAAAGAATAAATATGAAACTGACATTCTCACATTAAATTCTAGGATTACAAGTCTTCATAATTCTCTTGAAGATATGACAGATAAATATAGTTGTGCCCAGCAACAAATAGGGGAGCACATATTGGCCATGGATGAGGTTCTGCTACTGTCTCAATACAATGAACAACGCTTCTTGTCATTGACCAACAATTGCCAGTGTGGTTTTAATGGGACAAATGCCGAGCCTCCATTGTTATCATGTGAGCCCAGTGTGCAGAGTGACAGTTTCATAGAAAAAGTTAGTGTAAATAAAAGTGAAATTCTGTTATTTAGTGATGATATAGGGAAAAATATTGGTACTAAATTATATCAGTCCTCCGGCAAAATTGTAACAAATCATTGTATGCCCGGAGCCACCCCTGTAACCATTTTCAACAAAGTCTTGTGTGGAAATTACACAAATAACACAACTTTAATATTGCTTTTTGGGAGAAGGGGAAATGTAGGACAAAATGAATTGTTGTCATTCATTGATAAATTAAAATCACTTAATGTAGAGAATATTGTCTTGCATACATTTCCTTACATCAAAAGGTGCACCAAAGGAAAATAAAATTAGATATAAGTTAAACATGTTGTTGCACAATACGTTAACTACTAACAATATACAATTAAATTGTGGCTTAGGTACACTACCTAATTTAATGGACATAAATTGTATATTTAAAAATAAGTATGTATTGACAAAGGATAGGTTCCGCCTACCTAATTATTATTTACAACAGATAGCTACTATGCTATCTTACTTTTTATTTACAACTAAAGCTAAACATTTAGCTTTTCAGACAACTGCTTCTATTGAGCAGCTAGCTATTTCAGACAACTGCTTCTATTGAGCAGCTTAGCTTAAGTGAATGTAGTGATACTGAGTAGCACTTCATTAAGTATAAATAATTTAAATTAGATAGTGTGACAATAGAGGCAAACTCTAGCAATAATTTAGTACAACTCAGCTCAACACAAACATGTTATATTACTAACAACAACTGTTTAAACTTGATGCATCAAAACATGCAAGGTATGTTGGGCAAAGAATTAGAATTGGAGTTGTTTTTAAATTATTATTTAGTACCGAGAGTTTTTTACGCCGGCTTTTTCTCTCGGCCTACACCCTCTGTCTTCTTTGCCGATGAGTAGGGATGCCTTCAAATTTAATGACGTGGAATAAGTGATACATGTATCTTATGTTCCATAATAAACATATTTTATTTTATTTTTTATTTATTTATTTAAAAATAGCAAGTAAAGCAGGTTTATAAACCTACTTTAACGGACGTACGATGGCGTAGAATTAATTTTAATATTATCATTTAGAAGTTCTGCAACATCCTCTGATAAATTAATTACTCGACATGTTCATGTATGTTGGATATTTTTTTACAGTTTAAGATTTATATCTCGGTAATATAAATAGACAATGCCAGAATTATGCAACAATTGCGAGACAGGAAATCCGATTTCCGCCATATTAGTAGGATCAGTATAATAATATTGGGAAAATTTTGCTGTGATGCTGGAATCATTAAAAGATGTCTATCTAATTTAAACTTTAATAATTACTTTATATATTTTTAAAGATGTTTCAAGAACATAGCAGGGAAAAAACCTGCCAAATAATTGCTTGACTAGTTCAGCATTTTCAAACTAATTTAAATAAAGTATATAAGTATGTAAGTATATAGTTTATGTAACTATAAATCACATAATAATTGCCTTCACATATTTGAAGACTATTGCATTAGTTGCATAACAAGAGTGGGTAATGGTAGTCTTTATAACAAAGGTACCAATTTTATGCATTTAATAGAACAACCGGTATCATTTGAGGTTCTTGCTCTTTTAGTTGTAATTCAGTTGCATCTGTCCCTCAAGTCACTTTACATACAAAGTTGTCTAATATTCTATCATATGAAAGATATATTTTACATAATACTAATAGATATTGATAGATAAATTTTACACAATTATAAATGTGGTGTAAAACAAAGAAATAAAAATTTAGTAACAGTGATGTATAAATTACAGATTTTATGAATAATACAATACATGCCCATGAAGAAGAGAATGTTTACAAATATTAAGCAATCTTAAAAATTCAGAAGGACCTCTTTAATTAACAAGTAATATTAATATATTTAAATATAAAACAGCTTTTTTTTTAAATATAAATGCTCAATATTATAATGAGGTCTTATTAAGGCATAATATACTTTAAGTTTTTTGAGGTATGCTAAAAATTAAACCTAAATTTAGATTTAAAAAATTTCACATGTCAGCATAAATCATTGTAGCAATCAGTGAATTGGAGTGAACAACCTTTAATAACAAGATATGACCTTGAAAAAACAATAGTATGTAGTATCATTCAAAGAAAGTTAATAAACTTAAGATACTGTATGTTAAATTTATTAAATTTTCAATCTTCTTCATTATAGAAATGATACCTTATTTTAATCAAAGTATATGATCAAAACTATATACAAGACCAATTTTTTTTAGAATAGATTGCTGTTATTACTCATTAGAACTAATTGACTTTTTCTGTATATTTTTATATTGACTTAATAGATGTTGTTTGGAAAGTTGGTCAAATTAAAAACAATATTATAAAGAATGTCATTCTAATAAGATCAATGGTAGCTTCAATGACACAATGTATACATAATAATATATATGATAATTATCAATAAAAACAAGAAAGGCTTAGGCTTTTCAAGCTAACTTGAAAATATTATGTCTAAAAGTATATTTTTTAGTATCCTAATCAATCACTAATTCAATTGCAAGATAGTCAGAATAAAATAAAAAAACAAACAAATTATTTAGGGATTATTTTTTTGACTGTTTAAGGAATATCCAATTATTGCCATATATATAAAATACAGCTAAATACAAGTCATGAAGCATTCTTAATATATTATGCCACTACTCCAAAAGGATATATTTCAGAAATAGTAAGTAATTTGATATCAAAGATTTGTAAGCTTCAATCTAAGGATGATTAATAAAGTTTAAGATATCAATATTTTAATTCAACAGTAAAACACACAACATCCAACACTACTTTGGTATCTGTATATATATTATGTATTTGTAAACTATTGAAAGTGAAATATAATCATAAAAGTTTTTATGTACCATTACTGGTCAGGTATTAAGACGTAGTAAAGCATATCTCTGAATGTTCCTCTAATGCCATTTAAATACCTCTAGTTCAGCAATGGAAATATGATTTCAATAACATTTTCAATTAGTTTGAACATACACAAAAATCGAGATTTTAATGTTTAAACTAATATCCAAAGATTATCATATTGTCTGGATTACTAGAAATAATATTGCTTGCATTAATTTCGGGTATATCCCAGTCTAAAAATACAATTTCGCTTATTATCGATAGAACCAAATTTCCTGGGTGTGGTAAAGTGAAGAACTAATGATAATCCATGGTCATGTAAACAAAATTGAAAACATCACTTGGTAACAAAATTTCTAAACGTTCATCTTTTAACGTATAAAGCACTACCATTACACTGCGTCCGCGTTCGAAGACGTATTATATGTAAGTACATGAATCACCCATCTAGGTACTATGGATCCAACCTAACCAAAATTCTTATTCTAAACATATTTCAAAATAACAACTTATATCATAAAAAAACATAATTTATTAAAAAATTACCTTATCGCATAACGTTTTCACTTGGTTTTCTGTCAATTGCTTGCATTCATTTAGCTGTTCTATCCATTGATCCAGTTCTTTTAATGACGCCTTGTCCTCCATATTTAAACTGTGTGAAATTAACGCCTAAGACGTTAACTCGGTTTTTAAGATGTTTTTAACTAAGTATTATACACAAAACCATGCGAATTTTATAAATTACACTGTGTCTAGAAATACTGACTTTGGTAGACACTTACAAAATGGCGTTGATACTACTTGCGTGACGTCAATTTTGATCAAAAAAGGGCGACAAACGCCTCCAAGCGGAAATTTGCAGTACCAATTGTGACGCTTAGATGTCTGCGTTCATAAATTATATAAATATAGACAGATAAAAAATTCCAAAAATAAAATTTATAGCTTTGAGAAATATTCCTCTTAGATTATGACTAAAGCATAGATATAAAAATCATGCTTAAATTACAAAGAAAGAACTAACGATTTCTTTCTATTGTTTGTGTCCAAACAAATTATCGCTATACATTTTACAAATTTATATTTATTATTATTTTTTTTTTCCTTTATGGCTCTGGCACGGTTTGTGCATTAGCCAGCGTCAAGTAGGTATAGGATTTTTATAAGTCGCTGTTTTAATTACTTACAGTTTATGAATAATAAAAAACGAAGGAAACTAATCGCGACATAACATAGATGATTGAAAACGCATTAAATTTACAACAAAATCAGAATAGTTACATAAGGGGAAAAATAAATCAAAATTATAGTTTAATGTTATTATTTACAATAAATATACTTATAATACTATATACAAGGGGATTTAAATCTCGAATAAGTAAAGAAATATTGGTAGGAAGGGGAACAGAGAGAGATATTAAAGAAGTGTATAAGGAAGCTTGGTCATATTTAGGACAAGAAAAGAAAACATGATTCAGGTCAGAATAGCTCTCGCCACACACTCACAGGCGGTACTAGTTACGATACCAAGTTTGTGCAAATGAACTGGAAGGCTATTATGTCCCAGACGCATACGGATTATAGTAGAAGTGGTGGTTTTACCAAGCGACAATTTGGCAAACCATGGCTTCCTGGGAACGGAAGACTGTATAGCATACAAGAAACGACCTTTAATCCGGCCTTTCTCTTCCCAACACATATTCCACGATTTGTGGAGATATATGCCGGGCAAAGCAGCAAGATCATGGCCAAAATTCCTGTACGGGTGTACGTCACCGGTCTCAGTAGCACTGTTAGCCAAACTGTCAGCTTTTACATTTCCAGAGAATATTTATTATTAAAAGTGATCCATTGGATACACGAGCCATTGACAACATTAAAAAGGGAGATGATTATACAAACTAAGATTAAGTACCTATAGATGGTTCCAAAGCGTGGCCTCGAGCACTTACAATAGTATTTTTTACAGTGTCACTGAGATGGCAAATTTTATCAAAATTACTCCCCGTTGCCGTACTTTGTGGAAGGCTTTTGTCCAGCAGTGGACGTCTATTAGCTAATATAATGATGATGATTATAAATGACTATGATGATTACGATAACAAGGTAGAATATTTGACATCGTGACAAACTATGATGGAGATAGGGTGAGAAAAACTTAATGCTTTTCTTAGTAGGAATTCGTAAAAGAAAAGGAAGCAGGCCATTGGCCATCATTGGAATGTTATGGGCTTATAATAATAGACATAGACATAACATTTATTACTAACAAAAACACACACACATAGACACACAAAATAACAAAAATCAAAGAAAAAATATAATGAGAGATATAAAATGTTTTTTTTTCTTTTCCCATTTGGTCCGTTTCAAATGTGTAATGCGTGTGTGCTGTGGTTGTAATTGACCCTGGTTCAGCATTATGCTGAGAAACGGAATGTTCCACAGCGCTGGTCATTCTGCCAGGACCACAGTAGCTAGTTTGCGCCTCAGTCGCAAAAAAAGAAAGAAAAGGAATATAATAATAATAAAAAATAAAAAAAAATATTAGTAGAAAATAGATTCATCTCCATACGCCTTGGAACATAGCCTTAGCTAATGATTACAGAAAATGTAATTTATTACAGGACTCCGGGTATATAAAATTAAAAAATGGCGACGCTAAATCTTTTATAGTCTTAGGTTATTATGAGCTTAATATTGATAAAACCTGATTAATATTACATTTTCTAACCTAAAAGAAATAAATCTCACTGTAAAATATCTTAACTGACTATTTTATATTGTTTTATTGAAACCAAATGAAAGAAATGTTTATCTACATACAAGTGAAACGTTTTTTCATCAAGTTTCCGTTTACTACTTCTTTTACAGCCTAAAACGCTGCAACTCACCATTGCACTCAGTGTTTTTATCCAAAATTAACGAGCACATGTCTTTTATCACAATTTTAAGTACTATTTCATTTTCACCCAAACATCCAAAGACTCAAGTTTGTTTGTAACGAAGTGTCATGAACTGTAATCGTGACAAACACTATGTGCGTTTTCCAATTACAGCACTAGAGTGCATTTTGCGGCATAATGCTCAACGTCGAGTGTTCCAACTACAGCAACGCTTCGCACAATTGAGCACTCTCAAAACGAATGCTCTCGCGAGCTTCTCGCAAACAATACCAACGCAGTGACAGAAAATTTACCAGTATTTTTCTTTAAGTTGGCATTTATCGAAATTTTCGTTAGTAAATATTATTTATTGTTGAAAAATTTGTAAGGCTTTCGTTTCGTCGTAGATTTTGAAAATAATTAAAGTTATTTCAAACTGCTAAACAAAATAAATATTAGTATGGATGAAGGTATAAATAGTTACTTTTTTTATATTCCACATTTAAAATATGAATACAATTTTATTTTAAAATTCGGATCTGTACACAAATTTACTTTACAGGATTATACTTTAGAAAAAATTGCAATGGTTTTGAAAAAGTATATAATTTTTTAGAAATCATTAAAAAATATTACTCAAAACGTAAATGATGTAAACTTCTTACATGAAACTAAATATTTTACTGTTAATTTAGCTTGTTAAAACCTTATATTCTTTAAAGGTTTTCTCTTATTTCAGTAAAAAAATGTTAGTGAAATAATTTGATTATTAAATTAAGCGTAACAAGTTTTCAACCAATTATTATTGTTTACCACATTATTTATACATTAATGAGGTTGCTAACTCTATTCAGACCATTTTTTTGTCAAAACTGACAAAGCGCACTGCAGACAGATGCGTTTGAAAACTAATTCACGTTCCAATTAAGCTTCAGCATTATGCGGCATTGTGCGGCACTGAGTCGCAAAATGCTCTGTAATTGGAAAACGCACTATAATTCGGCCACGGCGACAAAGACAACAATTTATATATGGTCCTTGTGTTCAAGTAGATATTGCTGAATAACTGCTTTCTCTTTCTATCAACCACGGTAATTTCATGGATCCATCTATCTCTAGGTAATCTGAGAGTACAAATATTCTTCTTATAGTGCGATCTCCTTGCGAAGGTTGGCGATCATCATGGCTAGTTTAATTTTGGATGCCGCGCTTCTAAACAATGACTTGGTGCTTTGACCAAACCATTACACTATAGTACAAATATTATTCACTTTTAATTATTGCTTATTATTAATTGCTATCCAGCGAGGCGGTTTAATTTACACCACAGCTTGTCTTACATATTTTATTTCACAAGCAAATTCCACAAAATTTCATGGATTACTACGTAATTTATTTAAAAACTAAAATAGTTTAGAGTTAAATTTCTCTTTTCCGAAAAGATTTCTGAAAATTAACCATTTTAATAAATATTCTTTTTACTGTAACAAAGCAATTAAAATGAGCTAAATAATTATAATGTAAAATTTTATAAAAATAGAAATCTAAAATACATAAGTACATGATATAAAAATATTAATATAAAATATGTTTCAAATTCGCATTTAATATAGTTAATATGGTTTTTATTGGAAAAATAATGTATATAAAGGTATGTTTGTAACACTAATGCGTTAGCTTCCTAAGTTTAGTTATTATATCAGCAATAAACAAATAACTAACAAACAAAATATTTAATATTTATAAAATAAAATAAAATAAATATTTAATTTGTATAGTAAAATATATATAGTAGTTCGATTATTTATCATTTATCATCATTTTTGACGACGTTTGACAAATGAAATAAGTTTATTGTCAGTTGTCAAGTTCTCAATTGACATCTGAGATTGGACGAATTCTGATTTAGACTTCAAATTTCTTTCTTTTTGTGTTCGGTAGAAGCCGGGTTAGGCGGTTGCTGCTAGTCCGCTCTATTGTTAATTACAATGACTGAAACTTTGAAGTTAAGAGGCACTCTTTGTGGCCACAATGGCTGGGTTACGCAAATTGCCACTAATCCTAAATATCCTGACATGATTTTGTCATCATCCCGTGGTAAGTTATTATCGTGTATTTTTCAATGAAATGCATGATGGCACAACTTTTAAATCCTTTTCAATCACATGAAATTCGGGTTCTAATTATTATATTAGCATCCTAATTTGTTAGTTACTTCGTGAATTATCTATTAAAGCTTATATTTTCTAATTATAATGATGACAAAACTTTGCCACGTGAATCTTGAGCGGCAGCGGATATGGGCCTGATGAATTTCTTTCAATTAATACGCCAAATTTCTCTTGAATTGGATTAATATATTTTTTAAATTTTCAGACAAAACTCTAATCGTTTGGAAATTGACGAGAGACGAAACTAACTACGGTTTACCCCAAAAGCGTCTTTACGGTCATTCTCATTTCATCTCCGACGTAGTTTTGTCTAGTGATGGAAACTACGCCCTCTCTGGTTCTTGGGATAAAACTCTGCGTTTGTGGGATCTAGCTGCAGGCAAAACTACTAGACGTTTCGAAGACCATACTAAGGTGTGAAAGAACTTTTATTTAGTTAGTTTAAGTGCCGATACGCGGCAGAAGATAAGTGTTTTGAGCCTATGCGAGGCAGAAGAAACTAGCATCTCTACCACACATGGTTTTGATGCTTGAACATAGGATTCGGCTTATTAGCCGTAAGTAAATAAATAGTATGCAATGTAAATTATTAGCTTTTTTATGGTCAAAAAGGGTATTTAACATTTCGTTTTCTGTTTAGGATGTGCTGTCAGTTGCTTTCTCAGTGGACAACCGTCAAATTGTATCTGGATCTCGGGACAAGACTATTAAGTTGTGGAACACTTTAGCTGAGTGCAAATACACAATTCAAGATGATGGCCACAGTGACTGGGTCTCATGTGTCAGATTCTCACCTAACCACGCAAACCCAATCATTGTATCTGCTGGGTGGGATCGTACTGTTAAGGTAAATTATCTTTTCTTTAAAAACATACAGCTAAATATTTTTTTAAAGCATTACTGTATTGAAAATTAAATATCTAGAAACTGTATTGCGAGTTATAGAAGTTTACAAAAAAGTAAAATTGCTTTCTTTTGAGAGATTGTCAAATTGTTGTTATGGGGCTTACTAGAGACTTAGAATGGAAATATGGATTCTAAAAAAAAAGTGTTCCTTTCTAATATTTCATTTCATTAAAGATGTCAACTTGAATGTGACATCATACCAACCTTGATTGTATAAATTTGATATTTTACAGGTATGGCACTTGACTAACTGCAAGTTGAAGATCAACCATCTTGGACACTCTGGTTACTTGAACACAGTGACTGTTTCACCTGATGGCTCTTTGTGTGCATCTGGAGGCAAGGACATGAAGGCCATGCTTTGGGACCTTAATGATGGCAAGCACCTCCACACCTTGGACCACAATGACATCATCACTGCATTATGTTTCTCACCAAACAGATATTGGCTCTGTGCTGCCTTTGGACCATCCATCAAAATATGGGTAAGAATGTTAACATAATACAAACAGAATTTAAATTTTGATCAGCAGTAATTTTTTTTACTATGTAGCAGATTCATCAATTTTCTTTGATTTTAATCTAATACAACTGAACACACCCATTCACATTGGTGAACTTTAACCATAGCTTATCATAGAATCTTATTGACCATATTTGGTTTTAGGACTTGGAAAGCAAGGAGATGGTTGAAGAACTCAAACCAGAAGTCATCAATGAAACTCGCTCTAAAGCTGACCCACCCCAATGTCTCTCACTTGCCTGGTCAACAGATGGACAGACTCTATTTGCTGGATACACTGATAATATCATCAGAGTCTGGCAGGTTTCGGTCTCTGCTCGATGAAGTGTATAAGCATCTAGTTTCATTTATTTTTGTCCTCTGCATAAAAGTATAAAAATAAATGAAATTATCATTTTACATCTTCGTTTTTATTGTGATCTCCTTGGCTTAAGTTTAGATGTAAGATAACATTCATGGCAATGTTTTGTAATATTATTGTTATAAAAATAAATCTTCAGATATTTCTATTCTTTGATTCTTATTGTCATGAAAAAATACAATGAATATAAATTAGTTATTGTTATTTATGCATTTCACAATACTCTATTATGACAATCGCTACAATTATAATCAAATTATCTCTATAAAAAATTATGAATAAGACCAGGACTAGTGTCCAGTATTAAATTATTACACTTAGGGTCTGTTTCACAATGTATGGATAAAGTACGAAATAGCTATGCAACACATCAATTATTTGGAAGATAAATTGTGCTATTTGACACTACATCGGACTTATGATTGACTTTATGTGACAAATAGCCCTATCTGACAGTCGTGAAATGCAACAATAGTGTTTATCCTACCAATAAGTAATAAATAGCTAATTCGGAACTTATCCATACATTGTGAAACAGACCCTTAGATAATCAATTTTGAGGCAAATTTAAAAGTCAAGACTGAACTAGTAATAATATAAGGTTAGGTTATAATGGCTTAATATATCAATTCGCCCAATGAATTGTATAGCACTTTTAATAAAATGTTAGCATAAAGTTTGTTCTTATATTGACACAATGTAAAAAATATGAAAAATGTTTATTTCTTTTTACAACCACCAAGCTCTCCCTTAAAAACATGTTTTGCACCTTTTGATACCATTAATAACTTAATAATATTAAAGCATATAAATCTAGAGAATACTGGAATAATTAGTAATTAACAAAACTATTTTAAATGTTCTTTTCATGAGGCTTTCCATGTTCGTTAAGCAAATGGGGTCCATCTTTTAAAACAATAGGACCTTCGCCTACCTTTGTATAAATTATATAATTAATTAAGTCCTTCTCTGTAGCTGATTTGTAGATATGAGATTCAATTGGAAATTCTTTGATAGGTGGAGCCTTTAACCCCTTAATAAAGTCTTCACTAGAGAATGGGAAGAAATATTTTATAACAGACAACATTTTTGGGACCTCTTCCTCCAGCAGATACAAACAAGCATTTGGTCCTGCATCAAAGGTATATGCAACTTTAATAGTCCCACAAATATTGTTGTAGTAATGAACCATCTCAATTATTTTAAGTGAGGTGTTAGTTAAGTATATACAGGGAGGGAATGCTGATAAGCAAACTGCATGAAACTCATTACTATCCTTCATTGTCAATTCTGCAAATGTAGGAAAATCCTTTTTCACAATTGCCTCACAAATTTTCTCAATTCGAGATGGCACAGACACTTGAATACGATGTTTCATTAATTCAGAAGTTTCAACTGTTGTTTTCATACCCTTTGTTGAACTAGTATGTTTTTTAGTGTCAGCAATCACAAGAACTAGTACTCTCATATCAGGCCAATGTGACGAATCCACCACTGGTTTTGCAATAGAGTCGCTTCCGTCTGGATTAGAACCAGCATACCACCGTACAAATCCTCCGTATACACTTCTACACGCACTCCCTGAACCTATACGCGCTAGGGCACTGATGTCAGTTTTCACTTTATAAAGTGTAGCTAAGGCAGTCACTAAACATGCGTAACCAGCAGCTGACGAAGCTAGGCCAGCCGCTGTAGGGAAATTATTCTCAGAACAAATATGAACTTTGAATTTCAAAAATTCTTCGTCAACGCTCTTTTGTTCAATAGCCAACTCCCTTATTTTCTTAAGGCAATTTTGCAGCCTCTCGCTTGTAATTGATTCTTTTATACCATTTAACCATAATTCGTCTTCTTCAAATGCAGATCGTGCACACACAGAAGTTTTAGCACACATAACTTTCGGATCCAATGTTCCGCTAACGGAATCATTTAACGGTATAATTAATTTCTCATCCCGTTTGCCCCAATATTTTATTACTGCCATATTAATCGGGGCAATAACACTTATAATATCAGTCATTTTATTATTATTTTTTCTAATAAATTTGACTTGGCTCTTTTTAAAATGTATTTAACTTTTCTTCGCCAACGTCCAACACTAACATTAATTTTGAATTTTATGCCATATTCCAGCTCGCACTTGAAAGTTATACCCAGAACATCATTCCAATTGTCTAGTTGCAAATGGCACATGACATTTGGATTGCGTTTTATAATTTACTATTTTAAATATTACCACAGAATACACTTAATACCTCTTAATAGTTACAAAATAATTTCACCCTGTGGCTCAGTGGCTGGGAGAAAAATAATGCTGTCATACTCATAAAAGTAAAACTACCCTTATAAAGTAGATTATTTAAGTTTTATGTTGTAGTTTTTAAATTTGAAATAACTAGTCATTTATTTTAGTTGATATGTTCCAACATCATTTTGATTTTTGCTTATCTAGGGATATTTTTATTTTAGATTCATAATTATTATATAATAATTATATATAATAACATAAATAGCACATAGTACAACGAGAAATAATGAGATAATTCTGAACAATATTGTTATTTAATGTTATTCACGCATCAATTAATTTGTCAGTACCGACTGATTTTTAAAACTTTTTTCTTCTTATATGTACTAACATTTAAAGCTTGCAACACTTACTAGCGCTGCCATTTTCGTTTTGTGGCACGGTTGTAGCGGCGGTCGAAGTGATTTAACTATTGATAACTTTATGTTATTTTCAAACGCAATAGCTCTAAAAGACATTGAATTTTGTGTTTTAATCTAGTGAAATTACTAGAAGACATAGTTAGATGTGCTAATTATATGTAATTATTGACTTCCTTCGGTGGATTTGGTGAGTACGCCTTGTATCAATATTTTACTGAATTCGGTCTACTTACACGTTTAATATTATCTTAAAGGTGTGATTGTTGACGGTAAATATTTAGAATACAAATTAATAATGTAAAAAGACCAAAGATAACTTAAATAACATGGAAATTTTCTCATAAGATTTGAAATGGGCGTAGGGGTGGTAAGTCGTAACAATCACATACCGTCACTAGCTTGCTTAAAAAGGACTTGACGTTTGTATATCATATTCATAAAGATTCTTTAGTAATTATATAGGTTATATTCTATTAAAGCATAATATATTACCTAAAAGTATTTTTAAAATAAAAATTACATTTCTTAATCACTACTGTTTATCAAATTAACCTTGACAAGAGCCTAAATAAGTAAATTTTCCTTAGTCTTAATGTTTAAATCAACTGTCGATATGTTGGTATGATTGATATACTTAATATAGTTATTAGAATTTATTACTATTATGTTTAATTTAATATACAAGATTTCCTTATAAAAATATATGAGTTTATAGTCTTAATTTTTTGACAAAATAGCTTTAAGGAAATATATATAATTTATAATAACACAGTACATAATTAGGAGCTGAATTAATTGTTTTAGTGGTAAAATTAATAAACAAATTAGAATTTTATCATAATTGCTTGGAGCACATTCCTACTACTAAGGTACTACTCAAATGATAGTATTCCAGTATAATTATACAGTTCAAACATAAATTATTTAGTATGTAGCTTAATATCAACAAGTTTTATCCATATTGTTCTGGGGTTAACTTGTAGTTACTACTACTACTTGACATTTATTATGTAAAGATCTGAGGGTTTAATCCTCAGAGAAATGTAAAATCAATATAAATGTAGAGTACTTAACTAGAGACCACTATTGAATTGTTACTATATATTGAACACTTATATTGTAAGTACTGTGCATTATTATATATATGTTTCTAATGCTTATAAGTTACTACAGTTGGTTAATTATTTAAAATTTGTCTCAAATACACTAACTATGTCTATCCCATACCACTCATGGTTTACAGAAATTATACTTTACTTTATTCATTCACAGAAAGAAAATCACAACATGCACTATTTCATTTGTCATGCTCCACTTTTGGTTAGTGGGTAGTGTTGCTTGTTTTTTTTTAAATTTATACTTATTTAATTGCATACCCTAGCTTTCATATCCTTTATGTATATATTTTCTACTACAGGCAGTAAGTTAATATTTAAAAAAAACAAGGAAATAATATCTCATAATTATCACAAATTAATAAAAGACATAATTTAAAAAAATCTATATTTTGTCATATACTTTCTCCTAGTGTTTTGTAGTAGCTATTTTGGGCTGTATTGCACTCTTACCAACATTTGAAGTTTTTATACAAGGCCCCCTTTTATTACCCCTCAGCACTTATTTATGCACCTCACCCATGGAGTATTGTAGTAACACAAAAATACCAATTAGTCATGCTTTTGATAAGTTTGGAGTTGTAAATAGATTTAATAAACTTGTAATCTAAGTTTGAAATTAATTTTATACGAATTAACGAGAATTTAAAAATAATTTTGTGTTGCAAAGTTGTTTATGATCTTTCTTATGCCCTTTGATTTATTTTTCAATAACGAATTTATTACATTGCCTACGTCATATAATAACTATTACATAATAACATCAAAGTGTGTATTTTGTGGTGTCTGACATAATCATAACTTTCTTAAGAAACATGAAAGTTTTTAATTTACAGTAACTCATTAATATTTATTTATGCAAATACATATTTACCTAATTTATTGATTAACTAAACTTTACTTCCAGATATTACATAAAAACAAAATGACTTTAGTATTGATCAATTCTTTATAATAATACTACTGTGATTTTTCATACAGTAAAAATACTTTATTATTCTTTAAAATCCTATTAGAACAACAAAAAATTACCTGAATATTCCTTTTTACCTTAAGTTTAAATTTTGGGTATTATATATCACAGATCACATAATTTTGATATCTATACTAATATTATAAAGCTGAAGTGTCTGTTTGCTTTAACACATAAATCTCAGGGACAGGTTTAAATGGAATAGAACTCTGTGTTGGGTAGTCCATATATGAATTAAGGTTTTAAGCCGAATCAACATAAGTGCAACCGCAGGACCCCAGTTAGTTCTATTATAAAATGAATATAATAAGAAGAACATAATTCGTGTTTATAATAATATATTAATAAGAAATTAAAATAATATATTAGCGTAATGAATTGATAACTTTTATAAGATTATTTATTTGCAATAATAGGTGTTGCATAAAATTATAAATATTGTATAAATAACATGAATACAGAAAATATTGTTTCCATGTTTCGGTATTTAAGTTCACCAAGTTACAATTACAAGTAGTTTAAAAAAAAATTGAAGATTTAGTTTATTTCTAACTGTATAACTCAAATAGGAATTTATCCAAGAGTTTTGTGCTTCAGTTATAAGAATCCTTGACATTTAACATAGTATTATGATGATAAATCTAGGTTATCTGTCATCTAACAAAATACATGTATAGTTAATAGGTACACGAGAATGGTTTAAGAGCTTACATAACAATGCAAGATTAACATCGTCTTCCTGTGTCATTGAGCAGTATATAACACAAAAGTTCATTTTATTGGAAACTCTGAGGACAAGTTATTATGGAGACCAAAATAGTTTGAGTATTATGCCATTTGATTTTATAGTTTACATTCCGTAAAATGAAATGGGATATAAATCACCACAGGTTAATAATGAAAATATATAGAACCGTCAGAATGACTGGTTTAACAATATAAATTATATATTATTAATAAGTTATATTTTTATTTAATGTGCCAGTTTTATTTACTTACATGTTATGTATACCTATGGTGATTTAACTATGAACCTAATATGCTATACTTATATGACATCATATCTTAATCACATGATATCATATTAATGCAATTAGAATTTCTCACACAATGTTTATATAATAATATAGATGAACCTTGTTAAGGAACATATGCTTTATAAAAAAGTTAATTAAAATCAAATGTATGACAAGTACTACTAGGAGAGTAAATAATTTTGTTTTGCTCTGGTTTGCCATTCATGACATCACTTGATGCTCTTTGACGGTGATGCTAACTCATATACGTTTTCGCTAGGTCTCACTTAAAATTTCCCTAAATATTGATGAGGAAGTCTAAAGTTGTTGTTGTAGATTTAGTTTGAAAGGTAACTTCAATTATAAATTAAAAATAGTTTTTTCGTATTTCGGTCATAGCCACGCTTGGTTTATATTACGGTTAATTGGTTGGTTGGGATTAATATAAATTGTATAGGGTCGTCCGATTTTATATAAAAATTATTGAATGTACCCCTTTTAATCCCCTATAAACCTCCGGGACAATAAATTAGGGGGGAAACTTCCAAGTTGGCATCACTGCTCTTTGATATGTGCTTGCTGTACATCTTATTGTAAATAATTATGTTTATTAAATCCCAACTTGGTTCGTGTTGAAATACTTCATGTATCCGGAATTAAAGATAAAACATGAATGTAACATTAACAGTATCGCAAACTAAATCCCATCGCGTATATTAAATGGCGCATATATTTGCGATAATATATAACATATTCATTTAAATTGCATGGTGTAAATAACAGCTATTCTCGTAATGTTTTTAAAAAAATTAAGGCATACAAGAAAGATCTATAAAATAAAATATTAATTTTATTGTCACACTCTTTCTCATACAACACTCAAACACTTATATTATAATTTACTAGGGTACATTTAGTTTTATATCGAATGTTTTGCCATTGCCTACTTAAATAAATAAAGCGCTTTTATGCTGTAAACGCAATCCTTCCTTCGTTCACTGACCAAACAGTGTTAGCCTAGTGCCCTAACGTCGGGCGTATGGATTTGGCTGAACACCAATGGGATTTCTATGAAAGCAATTAACTGTTTCTCACGATGAACAAAACCTGATGAGGAAGGCTGATCACCTGCTTAAATCCAAGCCAAGGACTAGTCTAGAGTTGTAGCGCCTGTTAGTATAAGTAAATTAGCTGTTCCACGCAGGTTTACAGTTTTGATCAGATTCTTCTCTCTCTTGATCCGTTC